TATTAAATCTCTGGACTTACTTATTTCATAGTAACCTGAGCTTTATCCAAATCTATACTCGGTGTGTTAGGTTTGTCACATTAGGCCCATGAAGACCTTTTTATCAATAGATACAAGGAGAAATCTCTTTTTTTTTTTTTTTTTTGGGTGGCATGTTAACGTGTTTAACTCAAGGGGCCAAATATTGATTGCTACACTTGTCTCAACTGACATGACCATTAAAGGTTGTGTGTGGAGGTACATGGAAAATTTTGAGGGCCTCCAAACTGCCTGTCTTTTCTTGACGTCATTTTTAATTATTGGAAAAGCTATATTTTCACTTGATTTGGATAACCTAAACCTTCAGAACACAGATGGTCAAGGGCTGTTGAAGGTAATGTGCAAGAGTAATTTTTTGTCCTATTTACAAGGAGGTTTTCTGGGCTGTGCTTAACATCTAATGCTTGAGGTACTCAGTGAAAACTTTACTGTATTCCTTAAACAGTCAAAACTGCAACTAGACACAATGTTTTCCTCTTCCCTTGAAAATAGTAAAATGATTACTGCTACCCTGTATTTCCTTCCTGCTCATTTGGATTTTGAATAAGATGCCTCCTTTTCCTTCCATAATTTCTTGTTCTTTCTTTCCCTCTTCTCTTCCCCCACTCTCTCCCATTCTATGTGACTTCATTTATTAATTATTTTTCATATGGCCTAGATTAACCTACTTCATGAGATTTTTGCCCCATGTGTTTGAAAATCATCATGACTGTCCTTTTAGCATCTCCTTTTTATGTCATTTAAGAATTTTACATTTACATGTCAGTCTCAATTTTTCACAAAGAGGATGGGCTTTGGCTTAAACAAATACTTGATAAAGAGCTTTAGACAATCATTTTAGTTATTAATACCACTTTGTGAAAGTTCTTGGAAGGAGAGCAGTGGAAATCGAAATTTCTCTGTAATGAGCTCAGTTCAGATTTAACTTTTGGAATGTATTTTAGCTTGAATGATACTCAAAATGTCCTAATTAAAACCATTGGAATGGCAGTAACTGATTGACTACTTTGCACTTCTCCTTCTGCAACCACAAAACTTCTATTTTATGGCTTTTCCCTCTGTTTTGATCATGTACAGCTTCAAAGAAGAGGTGGAAAGAGAAATAGCAGTAGATGTGTAAAATTCCAAGCAGAATAATCTAATAGATTATTCCTTTTTTTTCACAACAGCATGAAGAGAATAGCAAGGTTTTGAAACGTATCTAATTTAGACACTTAGAATTAAAGGACCTCTCCAGTATTGCCTCCATAAATGTATCTTAAAATCCTGCATGCATCTTTTTTGTTTGCTTGCTTTCCCTGAACACTTAAGTAAGATTTTGGCAGAATATAAGATTTTTTGGGTGCTGGTTCATTGTTCTCTTCTCTGTGATATTTTAAAGATCACTGGCTGTGCTTTTATGCCGCCTTCATTGCATTTGTCACAAGTCAAAGTTACTGTGTGCTATAATAAAACTCCGAATAGTCTTTTAACCCTTCCGTTAATTCCAAAGTGCTGAAGAAGGCTCCACCTGTTGTAATGTTGATTCTAAATGGGACACGGTGAACTCTTCCAGACACATGCACTGATTTTTCTATAACTCCCAAGAACCTTTCTTATCTGGTCCATGAATCCTGCTGAGAAGTACAGTAGATAGAGGGTTTTTTGAGTCTGATTCTTCTCCAGATGCTCCTGCCCTTATATCCAGAGTCCTCTGAAGATCCAGATGGGATATAACACCCTATCATATGCCCCTCCTCTCTGTTAGCATCAATGTGGGTAATCTCACTTAGTGTCAAGCTAGCCCCACTATTCTGGGAAAAATCGACAACCTAAAAATATAAGTGCTGCCATACTGGGTCAGATCATGGTCTATCTTGCCCTGTATCCTGTCTCTGGCAGTGGTCTGTACCAGAGCTTCAGCAGGAGTGTACAGAACAGGATAATAATGGAATGCTTCACCACTGTCTTCTACTCCTTCAGGGAGTCAGAGGTTTAGAGTTGTCCTGAGAATGGGGTGGCTTTGCTGACCATCTTGGGTAATTGACCTATCCTCCGTGAATTTAGCTATGCTTAGTTTTTTAACCCAGTTATACTTTTGGTCATCACAACATCCCATGGCAATGAGTTCCACAGGCTAGTTGTGTGTTGTGTGAAAAAGTACTTCCTCTTGTTTCTATTAAACCTGCTGCCTGTTAATTTCATTGGGTGACCCCTGGTTTTTGTGTTGTGGAAAAAAGGGTAAATAACATTTCTATATTCACTTTTTCCACACCATTCATGATTTTACAGAACTCTGTCGTATCCACCCTTAGTTGTGTCTTTTCTAAGATGAACAGCACTAATCCTTTTAGTATCTCTTTGTATGGAAGCCTTTTCTTAACTTTAACCATCTTTGTTGCCCTTCTGTGAACCTTTTCCAGTTCCACTACATCCTGTTTGAGATGGGGTGTCCAGAACTGGACACAGTATTCAAGGTATGGGTGCACTGTGGATTTATATAGTGGCATTATGATATTTTGTTTTCTACGTATCCCTTTCCTAGTAGTTCCTAGAATTCTGTTAGCTTTTTTGACTGCCGCTTTTTTGACATTGTGGATCTGTAGTCAGAGAACTGTTCACGATGACTTCAAGATCTTTCTTGAGTGGCAACAGCTAATTTAGACCCCATTGTTTTGTATGTATAGTTGGGATTATTTTGTCCAACATGCATTACTTGCACTTATCAACATTGCATTTCATCTGCATTTTGTTGCCCAGCCACCCAGTTTTGTTAGATCCTTTTTAACTCTTTTCAATGAGTTTTGGACTTAACTATCTTGAATGATTTTGTACTGCGGCAAGCTTTGCCAATTCACTGTTTACGCACATTTCCAGACCATTAGTGAATCTGTTGAACAGGACTGGTCCCAGCATAGATTCTTCCATAGACTTCCAAATTTTAAAGGATGCCTTTTTACCTCTAATGGCCTCTATTACTCTGCTGTTTAACTATGGTGGTTGTCTTTTGGTCTTCCCACTATCTTTTTTGATTTGGGGTCTATTTTCAATTTGAGCCTCTGTTATGGTGTTTTTAGTAGTCCCTGTGCTGCTTGCAGGCATTTTACTCTTGTGACTGCTCTTTTTAACTTCCATCTCACTAGCATCTTCATTCTTGTATATTTCCCCTTTTTAAAGTTAAATGCTACTGTGGTGGGCTCTTTTGGTATTATCCCCTCTACAAGGATGCTAACTTAAATTACATTATGGTCACTATTACTGAGCATTTCAGTTATAGTTACCTCTTGGACGAGATCCTGTGGTTCACTTAGGACTAAATCAAGAATTGCCTCTCCCCCTTTGTGGGTTCTAGGACTAGGTGCTCCAAGAAGCAGTCATTTATGGTGTCTAGAAATTTTATCTTTGCATCACATCTTGCAGTGGCATTTACTCGATTAATATGGGGATAGTTGAAATCACCCATTATTATTTTGGTTTCTGGTTGTGTAGCCTCTCTAACCTCCCTTAGCATTTCACAATCACTGTCACCATCCTGGTCAAGTGGTCGGTAGTATATTCCTGCTGCTATATCTTCTTATTCAAGCATGGAATTTCTGTCCATAGGGATTTTGTGCTTCAGTTTGATTCATTTAAGTTTTTCACCTTATTTGACTATTCTTTTTTAAACATATAGTGCCACTCCCCCACCAGCATGATGGACTCCGTCAGTCCGATATACTTTGTACCCTGGTATTACCATGTCCCATTGATTATCCTCATTCCACCAAGTTCCTGTGATGCCTATTATAACAATATCCTGCCTATTATTCCCCAGATAGTACTGTATGTAGAACTGGTAGGGCTATAAGACCATATCCAGCAGGGGAGACATAAATCCATGTCTTTTATAGTGTGAAAGAGGGGATATGATGGGTGGCTAGCATGAAAGAAATCCCCTTAAAGTAGAACCTGAGTGCCCCCAGCACCCAATGGATTACCACACATTTTCCCTTCACAGTGGAGTACCTAGTTTCACTAGACAAAATTTCCTATTGAGGATATGGGTGCTTCTGGTCTGCTCAGACTATAAGAGGATGGCTCCAAATGTCCTCTTGAGGTGACCAGAATGGTGAATAAAGAAATCTAAGCAGTAAACATGATTTCAGTGAGAGGAGGGGTTCCTTTTATATCTCGCTCTTTTTCCAGTGCTAATCCTTCTCATTCATGTATCTAACTTCAAAAATAAAAGGGTACTCAGGAAGTCTAAATTATATAGTAGTTATTTAGCTTTGTGAAAGGCTTCTGGTTTTAACACTTTCCAGTGTTCGCTAAGAAAAGCGTATTTGGGGGGAGGAAATACATTTTAATCTCATTGCCGACAAGATTTTTTTTTCACTTCTTCCCTGCAAGTTTGGTAATAATTATGAATCATGAGAGTAATTAAAGAATAGTTGTTATAAAGGAACTTGTTATATTTTCTACAATTTGTTATAAAGCAATAAGCTTTTGATAAAAAAATTGACTTACAGTTAAGCTGCCTTTCTTTTTCTCAGCACTTTTCAAAGAAATACTTCAGCAATTTCTTTGAACTAATCTAAATTAAAATGAGATTTAGGCAAGGACTAGAACTTGTGATCTGTGAAGTGCCAGTCAGAAAACACAGAGCAGAACAACTTTCTAGAAGGAATGCACACACTGATAAAATAACATGCTGTAATTTAAAAGAATGCCTACATTTTAATTTTTGATGAATGTATAATAATTTGAATTTGGTATCAATAATACAAAGTGTTATTGCTTTGCAGCTGGCAGAAATACCATCAAATGTCACTCCTAAAAAAGAAAAGTCTGAGAGTGAAACTTTAACAGTACTTTCACATTTCAAAAGGAGAAGCTCTTGAACTTTATTTAGCATTTTCCATTTTCAAGAAGCTGTATATACATTAATCCTCCCAATAACCAGCAAAATTGCATTACAGCTTCTTTTTAATTTTCCTATATAGAACTTCTTGTAGTGAAGAGAAAAAGGGGCAGACCAAAAGGGTCAACTAAGAAGTTCTGTGCAGACGAAGAATCAGCAGAAAACAATAACTGCATTCCAAGCGAGGAAACACAGCAAGGGCCAGAGGAAGGAACAGAATTGGCTGAAGTTTTACCAGGCAACTTGGAATGCCGGAAATGTAGTCGGAAGTTCTCTAACCCACGTCAGCTAAGAAAACACATCTGCATTATTGTTTCAAATGAAGGAGAGGAAGAAGGAGATCCAGGTAAGCAAATGTCTTACAAAAGGACATGTAACCGTGTGGACCAATCTTCTTCCCTTTGAATATGATATGGTAGATAAAACTCCTAATACTAGACTGTATTGTTTTTAAATTAGAGTGGAATACTGGGTGTAGATTTTGTTTTACATTTAGATATATATCTATTTAAAATGACAGCTTGATAATCCCTTCAAGTCATAGTGTGGTGGGCACGTGCTGATGATGACTGAAGCAAAGATTCTTCTTCAAGTGCTTGCACATGTCCATTCCACCTTAGGTGTATGCTCCAGTGCACTGGGTAACTATCTGGGTGGTAACTATCACGGTGGCACCTGCGCCCTCTGCATGCTCGTGCTGCTAGCTGAGGGCAAAAAGGGGCAGAGCCATCCTGATTCCCTGAGCTCCTTCTCATCTCCCATGATTGGAGTGCATGTATATGTTTGCTGCACTCTTTTGTCTTTCTTCTTTTAAAGAAAGTTTTTCTACTCCTCATTGTACATAGTTTGTTAGTCAGTGAATTATTGTGATAGCAGTACTCATTTTAGACATTTGTTTCATTTTATATATATATTTCTTTGGGCTTTAAGTTTGGTACCAGGGCATGTCTTTGTCCCTGTGATTTAAGTGCTGTTCTGGTGTAACAAATTTATGCCAGTCATTCTAGCTATTTAAAGTGTTTAGGAGAGGTCACGTAAGGCATAAGTACCCTATCTATAGAGGGTTTAAGACCAGGTCTAAGAAGTTGAGGGAAATTTGACTTTGGCATATCCTGATGGAGGCAGCTTTGCATCCCCACTTGGAACCCAGCTGCTCAGTAGCAGGGGTTCAGACTCCATCTCAGAGTGCACTATCAGACTTGGTGGGTTCTGCTCATCAGAAGGAACTAGGGAGAAGGTGTGATCCTTTTCCAGTTTCATGAAATGCCAGAAGTCAGGTATTTAGAGTTCCTCTAGCCAGAAGTCTACTTCTTCTTTGAGAGTGAGGTCCTTAATGGAGACCCATAGAAAGAAGTCTAGTACTGAGGTTAGAGCTAAATCAGACCCAGCTAGCTGCTCCCTGGTATCATAGAATCATAGAATATCAGGGTTGGAAGGGACCCCTGAAGGTCATCTAGTCCAACCCCCTGCTCGAAGCAGGACCAATTCCCAGTTAAATCATCCCAGCCAGGGCTTTGTCAAGCCTGACCTTAAAAACCTCTAAGGAAGGAGATTCTACCACCTCCCTAGGTAACGCATTCCAGTGTTTCACCACCCTTAGTGAAAAAGTTTTTCCTAATATCCAATCTAAACCTCCCCCACTGCAACTTGAGACCATTACTCCTCGTTCTGTCATCTGCTACCATTGAGAACAGTCTAGAGCCATCCTCTTTGGAACCCCCTTTCAGGTAGTTGAAAGCAGCTATCAAATCCCCCCTCATTCTTCTCTTCTGCAGGCTAAACAATCCCAGCTCCCTCAGCCACTCCTCATAAGTCATGTGTTCTAGACCCCTAATCATTTTTGTTGCCCTTCGCTGGACTCTCTCCAATTTATCCACATCCTTCTTGTAGTGTGGGGCCCAAAACTGGACACAGTACTCCAGATGAGGCCTCACCAATGTCGAATAGAGGGGAACGATCACGTCCCTCGATCTGCTCGCTATGCCCCTACTTATACATCCCAAAATGCCATTGGCCTTCTTGGCAACAAGGGCACACTGCTGACTCATATCCAGCTTCTCATCCACTGTCACCCCTAGGTCCTTTTCCACAGAACTGCTGCCTAGCCATTCGGTCCCTAGTCTGTAGCGGTGCATTGGATTCTTCCATCCTAAGTGCAGGACCCTGCACTTATCCTTATTGAACCTCATCAGATTTCTTTTGGCCCAATCCTCCAATTTGTCTAGGTCCTTCTGTATCCTATCCCTTCCCTCCAGCGTATCTACCACTCTTCCCAGTTTAGTATCATCCGCAAATTTGCTGAGAGTGCAATCCACACCATCCTCCAGATCATTTATGAAGATATTGAACAAAACCGGCCCCAGGACCGACCCTTGGGGCACTCCACTTGATACCGGCTGCCAACCAGACATGGAGCCATTGATCACTACCCGTTGAGCCCGACAATCTAGCCAGCTTTGTACCCACCTTATAGTGCATTCATCCAGCCCATACTTCCTTAACTTGCTGACAAGAATACTGTGGGAGACCGTGTCAAAAGCTTTGCTAAAGTCAAGAAACAATACATCCACTGCTTTCCCTTCATCCACAGAACCAGTAATCTCATCATAAAAGGCGATTAGATTAGTCAGGCATGACCTTCCCTTGGTGAATCCATGTTGGCTGTTCCTGATCACTTTCCTCTCATGCAAGTGCTTCAGGACTGATCCTTTGAGGACCTGTTCCATGATTTTTCCAGGGACTGAGGTGAGGCTGACTGGCCTGTAGTTCCCAGGATCCTCCTTCTTCCCTTTTTTAAAGATTGGCACTACATTAGCCTTTTTCCAGTCATCCGGGACTTCCCCGGTTCGCCACGAGTTTTCAAAGATAATGGCCAATGGCTCTGCAGTCACAGCCGCCAATTCCTTCAGCACTCTTGGATGCAACTCGTCCGGCCCCATGGACTTGCATCCGAGAGTGCATGGTACTATATTCATCATCTAGCAATGTAGAGGTGTAGATTCTGGCACCTCTTTCGATATTGTCGAGACAGACTCTATTGCCAGAACCTTCTACAGCTTCAGGTTAGTCTGTGGTACACTGTATGCTCTCGGTACGAACAACACCTGAGTCTTACATGGTGACTGGGGACCATCTTTGACTCTTGGTTCTGGATTCATTGCTGATGCAGGAGGAGGTTCAGGCGCCTGTCCCTGTTGTACAAGCCCCGGTACTGGGATAATCTTTGGCACCCACACTTTCAGTGCCATGAGGGTCTGGACACTAGCTGGATGCTCAGTGGTGCAGCAAGGCTTCTGTGAAAAGCCTCCAGTAATGTCCACATCTCGTTGGTCTGTTTTAAGTCCTGGTCCCTTGCCACTCCACCGTACCACCTTGGCCTTTGGACTATGCTTACTCCTCTTCAGAGTTCGAGGTGGGATTCATGCATCAGGAGCCCATTAAAGAAGGTCTACATCCTCTCCTGTTTATGCAAGTCAAGATCTCAGTAGCGTCATTCTTATAGGAGCAAGTCCAGGAACAGGATGCATTGGTGTTAGGACATGGTACTACATCAAGTCCAACAGTGACCCTTTTGGACTCCTTGGAGATTTTCTCTGGACTTCTAGGTCCTCATTGCGTAGACTGCAGACATTTTATAGAACAAAGTATGGAATGCGAAGTACCTCTTGTGATAATTTTGTACACATTTCCAGAAGGCTTTTGACAGTGTACGAAGAGAAAGTCCTGGAAGAATTGTGGCATATTATGGAATACTTGCAAAAATAATTAGCATAATCAAGGATATATGATAACGCTGCATGTGCAGTCAGAGATGGTGACAGCATCACCTAATGGTTTGCAGTGACAAGTGAACTAAGACAAGGGTGTATTATGTCCCACATATTGTTTGGACTAGTCATTGACTATATCATGAGAAGAATAACTACAGAAGGCAACCAAGGAATTTTATGGACAAATGATAAAGCACAATTGGATGACTTGATTTTTGCTGATGACATTGTCTTGCTTAGTTCAACATATTGCTTAATGGAAGAAAAGACACAGCATATACAGCAAAATAAATAGGTTTCTTCATCAACAAGGGAAGGACAAAATGTGTGGCTATCAATGTCCCAAAAGTAACCATTAGTGTGGCTGAAGAAACATTCGACGAAGTAAGTCATTTTCTCTATGTAGGGAGTGAGATGTACAATGATAATGACATCATGCTAGAGTCAGGCAATGAACATAAAAAGCAGCAAACAACTTCCATAAACTTGAGAAGATTTGGAAAAGTAGCATGATTGGCACTAGCATAAAAATATGAATTTTTAACACCAGAGTCAAGAAAATCTGCACCAGAAATTGATGAGAAGATCAACTCACTTCAAAGTAAATGCCCACGGAAGATCTTCAGAGACTATTGGAAAGAGTTCAACATCAGAAACAGTCAGTTGAACAAACCTATCTAAAACATCAAAGGTGGTAAGAAGACGTCAGTGGGTTTTTAAGAGTGCTACCAACACGACTTCTACCACAAGTAATTATATAGACACCACCTGGAAACAAAAAAAGGAGGGTGACCTAGAGAAACATTACACAGAACAATAGAGAAAGAAGCCAGATCCATCAACATGACACTCAGAAGCCTGAACAGACTGGCACAGGATGAAAATAAATGGCAGAAACTGGTGGACACCCTATGCACGTGTGGTATGGGAGGGTAAAGAGGAAGGTGCAGCAGTCCTAATTAGCATGCAGTAGTTTAGTATGTGTCAATTCTATGTGCAACCATTTCAATTTTATATGGCAGTTCAAAATTTCACTATTTTAGTCTTAAAAAATAAAAGCACCAAGAAACTTAAAAAGCCCAAAACAGTAGTTGAGAACTTACACGCACACAAAAGCCAGGAAATTCAGTTATGGTTTCCATAGCAACTGTAACTCCACCACATTGTGTCATTTATTAAGGCTTAAATTAAATAGTGTATTCAGTAATATTAAAAAACCCTACATACACTCTCCGGTGCCAAATTATGATTGCTGTGGCAACCATGTTTTTGAACTTCCTTATTTCTGTGTATGGAATGGCATAATGCTATTCTACTTTTAGTTGATAATTTCAGCTGTTCTTTCTATGAAAATAAGCTCATGATTATAAAGTGCACTTACTGGTTAAAAGAGTGGTAAAGCTAACATATACCTTTTTATGTGATTCCTGGGTTGAAACCAGGTAATAAAAACACATTATTCACTTGCTCACTGAGGAAAAATTAGTTTGGTTAAGATATGATTAAGGGGGTTATGATAAATTTACAAATATTTAAAATGTGTAAACTCAACTGTGATGGGCATTATTGAAGTAAA